AAGATTTTATGCCACATATTAGTTTGGGCGAAATTCTCTTTAAGTAGTCTAAAAAATAGTTTGCCTATGTTGGTTTTCACCGCTGAATTATAGGGGGGGGTTAAACCATAATATTCTTCTACTTCTGGCTTGATGTTTACCTTGTGTTCTAGGATCATCATTTATATCAGCATATTCTAATTTACTATTATGTCCGCTATTCTTTAGATTATTTTATTTTTATTAAAAATATTTATATTTATATATATGTGTGTGTGTTTGTGCGAAAGCTTTCAGAATGTATCTGTAGAAAAGACAAAATGTTTAATAATAGACAATAGGAAAAAGCTGTTTTCCTATTGTCTATCTTAACCACATATATATACACATATATATATATTTTAAGACATTTTTATGTTTACACATTCTTTTTATAGATACAAATATATAAGCAAATCCTCTGTTTATAATAAACAGTATTAAACAACATTTACCGGCATGAATGTCCGCGAAATTTTCATAGAAAATATTCGCCCTACGGCAGGATTCGAACCTGTATCCGATACGGAACCGTCATTTAGCTTGATGCCGTGACGTTACCGATTTGGCCACAGAGGAGAGTTCGGTTAACGAGGTCGAATTTATTGTATTTAAACTTCAAGCTTCTATGAATCTCTCACGTACATTCATATCTGCTCAAAGCATATCCAAATGTAAAAAAATAGCGTCGCGCATTATGAAATAGACAAAGCCCGACAATTATTTTAAGGCATTTTTATGTTTATACATTCTGTCAATGGACAGAGTCGCAACTGAAGAAAATTATAATGAGAGTTTCCCAGGCCTGGGGAACAGCTGCCCGAATCCGCGGCCTCTGATTTCACAAAAGAGAGGGATGTTCGTGCGCGGGTCCCCACCTTAAAACTGACCTTGTGTCACTGCTCGTCTTAGGAAGTAAATACCTAGTAATTTGCTGCATAGGCAAGACAACAAACAGTCGAAAGACCTACTAAAGAGACCACAGTTAAGATGACCGGTTAAATAATTCATAATTCTATAGACGCAAAACGCTATAATTTTGATTTTGAAATAATTACTTCATTAAATAATAAAACATGTTATGAAGAAAATTCCATGCAGAAAGATTACTAAAGAACCACCATAGAGTAAACACACACCAAAACGACTTCGATGAAACAGAATATTTCGCCTTTGCTTTGGTTATAAAAATATTTGAAAGAAAAATTTTGTAAAATCATACTGTGCATCGAACAGTGTCTTCAATTCCCTAGTTAACTCTTATACTCCTACCCGAGGGTCTTGTACTTCTGCCTTTTTCCTATCCCTCGCTCAATTCTCGCATTTCTGGTCGACTTTTTAACATGTTGACTGCGAGAGACCAATTAGAATATCTGACCTTAAACGCCAAGTTTATAATAGCCAACTCAGGCAATAAAACATTTTATGAGGTCATTTATAGCTTCAATTGAAATCTTAACATTATTTTAACACTAAAAGTATCAATGCACAATTTGTGAAGTGTTTGTTTGGTGATCAACTAATTAGCAAATACTAGAAAACGTCCAAGAAATGATGGTGGAAGACAGAATTATTTAGAAGATATACAAGGTGGTCTGAAAATATTGCCTCCCCTACCAAAAGGTAATGAGAACAATAGAACAAGTAATACAATAATACAAAGAATATGGACTGGATTGAGTTTATTCACTTTTCTTGACTCTGTCACACATCGAGAAGGTCTGTATAAACACCACCATTTTCATGTCAGCCATCTTAAATAGAAAATTATATAATGTGAGGGTGACAAGACTTTCGGACCATCCCGTAAAACCAACTGAGAAGAAGGGAAATCCAACCAGTACCTTCAGATCGAGCACGGTGAAGACTCTGTTACTTTAGAGCTCTTTGTGGAGAGAAACCACAGCTCTGCGTTGTGGTTTTAAAAATCCCCATCGAAACACTTACTTTGAATATTGGGCATTTCTTTTACTTTTGAAAAGCTTCATTTTGTTTTCAATGCGCTTTTCCCATAAAAATGTTGTTAATACGAGAGGCGAATAAAAGACCAAACTTTCACATTCTATTACCGCCCATCAGACATCGAACTACCGCTGGTCAAGATGAACAGATGCCCTATCGAGGTAGCACCGTGACTTGAAAGAATATTGGGCCTGAAACTTACACCCAACCTGAAGTGAATATAGTTAGAGATGCAGGTAAAATGATCGGCACCCTGTACCGCTCCAGTAAGTACCTGCCACCTCATGCTATCCTCAACCGTTATAAGAACAAGATCAGACCGAAAAGTGAGTACTATTTAGGCGGGGGCTGCCCGGTCTTCACTTGATAGAGTTAAAAGCCGTCTCCGAAAACTTGTTGGAGAAGAATTATTTTCGAACATTCAACCTCACTCTAACAAGGGGGATGTGACGACCCTCTCAGTGCCCTATCGCTACTTCCATGGAAAGTGCCCGGACGAACTCCATCCTCTGCTCCCGCCGATTCAAACCTTCACGGCAAAAACACGCCATGCCACTTACATAGAATCAAACCACCCACATTTTCTCCGTATTTCATCAGTGAGAAGTAAGTTCCACTGAAACAGGTTTATAGCGAAGAAAACGTCGAAATACCTCGTCAAACAAGACGACAGCGTATCGCGTGTATCCTACGATGGAAAATCAAGCGAAAAAGAAAGTTACTTGCCGAAAAAAAAAGGGTTCGTATTCTACATATTATGCAGAAGACGGAATATTCAAATTAGAAACAAGTCAGTCGTAGGAATCGATATAAAAGTATTTTGGATATGCTAATATTATGCGTCTTCTCCCAGTTGTCAACGAATGAAAGAAAAAAATGCTCGGTCGATAAAAGCAGTTGGTGCTTTCGAATCGGGGACGAAAGACAAAATTCGTCTATTTTGGCTACTGCGTTCGTTGGTGAGTGAGCTTTTTGGGGTTTTTTTTTTCTGAATGGTTACGTGCATTGTGATTTGTGTCATAGTAACTGCGAATAAAGATTGCGACATTTCGACATTTCTTTCTGCCACTGATATTCGAGCCTGAACTTACAGTGATTTGTTCTTTTCGTTGTGGAAGTAATCTGCGACAAATATTTCCTCTGCAATCTAAGAACTCTTACATGTTTCTTCCCGTGAAACATTGCCCTGTGGAAGAGACTCCCAAGAGGATGCTTTCCAGATCCCGACAATCTTAACCTGTTCAAGCCTAGAGTTAACAGTTATCTTCATCTCCTATCCATATAAACTATTCCTTAACGTAATCCTCTACATCGAGTGGCCCTTGGATCTTGTAAAGGGTGAAACTTGATGTAAAAAAATTAAGACGACAGAAGATAACGATTGATACTCCATTTAAATTTTTGAACAACATAGTTGATTGTGAAGCCAAAATTTAGAAGAGAGTTCCACAAGCGATGAGATAAAATCTATTAGCATAGAAATTACGATTACATCTAGCTATATTGTTTACATAAATTTGGACTAGTGTCCTCATCTTTGTCGCCATGTTTATCACAACGTTTCCGCTCCGGCCTTCTTCAGGTGGTTGGAATGTCGAACTGGACCCTTTATTTCGCTGACTGTTCTAGTTCCACGTGCCATGTTTAATGGATGTCAGTTATCTCCTGTTAATTCTCCTCTGAAATCCGCATAATGTAAATACCTCATAGAGACATCTAACCAATTTAATTGTTAGATGAAAAAACCTTTCCGCCATTTTAGTACTGAACTTAAATTCATAAATGCTAGGTATATCAGAAAAATTAGCATTAAAGTATTTTTAGTTAAAAGAACGATTTTTTCATTTCTGTGTTAGATGCCAGGTACCTGTTATTTGCGTTAGAAACAAGGAAATGCGTTGTGATTGTAGCCATGATGGCTGCGCCACAAAAAAAGATCGATATGTTGTCTTTCTTTAGTGACATATCAACACCTCCATGAGATATTTAATGCCCAAATGTAAATATTTTGTATGCATTTTATCTTCAACTGCAGATATTTTGTACAGAAATTTATACTTTCAGGCTAAATGTATGATTTTTTTTAGATATATAGTTTGTCGGTGATATAAATATTGTTAATATTTTATATATAAAATGTATTGCTGGTCATTTTAGTATAAAATGTATTGCTGGTCATTTTAGTATAAAAATATATTGCTGGTCATTTTACCATGAAAATGTATTGTTGATCAATTTACTATAAAAATGTATTGCTGGTCATTTTATTATAAATATGTATTGTTGTTTATTTTACTATAAAATGTATTTTAGTGTTGTATTGCTTCTCATTTTGCTATAAAATGTATTGCTGATATTTTTACTATAAAAATGTACTTTTTACAATAAAAATGTATATATATATTTTGCTAGATTTCTGTTTGGAGGTTCAGTATTTGCCCCTAGCTACCAGGTACTACCACCTTCGAACAACAATGAAGTGAGAACAGGGGGAACAACAGCAATTAATAGGTGGTTCCATGTAACAGAAATATCTTCCGATCAAAGGCCTTTCTCCCGGGCGTACTTTATTATCATACCCAGGACTGAGACAAAAACGAGATAACTCGTGATTGGCGTCATAATAAAAACTGTTAACGACGAGATATGTTTTAATTTTTTGTTGTTGTTGTTGTTGTTTTTTTCTTCTTCTTCTTCTTCTTCTTCTTCTTCTTCTTCTTCTTCTTCTTCTTCTTCTATGTGTTTTTCTTTTCTTTTTCACTCTCGCTCAATTTGTTTTAGTTTCCATTGTGGAGTTCGAGTTTTCTCCTTTACCATTCATTTTGCATTGTTCTTCTCCATTTCCGATCTTCCTTCCTACTTGCCTTAATTAGCAAAACATTTTCACTTAACAATCATCGTCTCAAAAATTTTTAGTCTAAAATTATTTGGGTGGGGCTTTAAATAATTTGCAAAAGGGTTGATAAACTGTAAAAAAAAGGAATCAATCAAAATCCTCTTCTTTTATTCGCTTCACATAGGCTTATCTTTTCTTCTTTTTCGTTTTCATCTTTTTCTTCTATTTCTTCCTTTTCTTTTTCTTTTTTCTTCTATTTCTCCTTCTTTTTCTATTTCTTCTTTTTTCTTTTTCTTCTTCTATTTCTATTTCTTCTTTTTCTTCTTCTTTTTCATCTTCTTTCTTCTTTGTCATATTTTCTTCTTTTTCTTCTTTGTCGACTTCTATTTCTTCTTCTTTATCTCATTCTTTATCTTCTTCTTTTTCTATTTCTTCTTTTTCTATTTCTTCTTTTTCTTTTCTTCTTCTATTTCTATTTCTGCTTTTTCTTCTTCTTTTTCATCTTCTTTTCTTCTTTCTCATATTTTCTTCTTTTTCTTCTTTTTCCACTTCTTTATCTTCTTCTTTATCTTCTTCTTTTTCTATTTCTTTTTCTTTTTCTTCTTCTGTTTCTATTTCTGCTTTTTCTTCTTTTTCTTCTTCTTTTTCATCTTCTTTTCTTCTTTGTCATATTTTCTTCTTTTTCTTCTTTTTCCACTTCTATTTCTTCTTCTTTATCTTCTTTGTTTTCTATTTCTTCTTCATCTTCATCTTCTTCTCCCTTCTTCCTTGCTTAAGACATGCTCACTCATTCTCAAATTCGTCCTCCTTTTTTATTTTACAAATATTTTTCTTCTTCATGTTTCCCTTTTTATTTCTTTCCGTCTCATTTTAACTATCATTTTACAATCTTATGTCTTTTAATTTTATTTCTTCCAGGCTATTATCGTCCAATTTTCAAGTTCCTTCTAGAACATCCTTTCTCTTTCTCTTTTTCGGTTTTCTTGTATCTCTTCTACATTCCAAAATCTTTCTTCTTCCTTTCTTCCGGATTTCATTCGAAAATGTTTACTTCCCTCCATTTCGCCTTCATTTACCTACTCCCCCTCTTCCAAATTTTCTATCCCTCTCTCGTTTTTTGATTTCCTTTTAACTTCCTGACGTCTTATCAACCATTTCGTTCCTACCATTCTTCCTATTGAAGGCCATTGTTTTCCAGCATCATTTTCAGCTTTCTATTCTAACAATTCTTATACTCTGACATGAATATTTATACATTTAATCTGAATAATTCGACCCTTACAAGAACTATTTCTTTCCACTTGATACGATCTATTTATTCTTTTCTTCTTAATCGTATAATGGCCACTATGAATATCATTTGCGTTGTCTGATTACTTTTCATATTCCAGTCCAACTTTCGAAAATGTTCCTCTTTCGCATACGATCTCGTTAATGTTTTTTTTTTCCGACAAGGTCGTCTACAACCATTTCTGAAAATGTCTACTTTAGTAGTTTCATGGCATTATTAACGTTTAGTTTTAAAAACGTTCAACGATTTTAATCAAGTGATATATATTTTATGAAATATATGTTCACATATAATCGTTATCACCTGTCTTTTTAAATTCTGTTCTTTTATTGCTGTGTTACTAAATATTTTTCTTCTTATATTCTTCCACACTCACTAAACACTTGCGTGTTAGTGGCTTTGTTGCCTTGTGTTATATAGTGGTTTCACAGTGGAGGCTTGTATTTGTACTCAGTCAGTCCTAAAATAGGTTCGATGTACAAAACGTTAGGAACTTGATATAATAGGTAATGACGCAGCAATCTAGTTGTGGTGGCTGATACTTTAATATCCGACTAACGGTCGTCCGACATCGACTGACTGACCAACTCACTGCCGACTCAGCGACTGATACTACTCCTACTTATTATAGATGGGAGAGTCTATTAACTATAGAATAGGGGTGTTCCACTATAACATATTGCTTGAGGTGAAACGATTAAAAAGAAAAAAAGAAACTAAAAACAAACAAGTGGCTTTCTCTTCGTATTTCACTGACTGGAAAAATAACCCCACGTTGTGCTTCGAGCCACATTCGCATCATTGTGCCCAAAACAGTGAAAAAGTCTGGTGTATTTTCACAATAAAACGGCAGGTGAAATAACGCTCGCGAGAGAAATGAAGACGTGAATCAAGTTTTCTGTTGGTTATTGATCCACGGATTCAATAACGAACCTAATGAAAACTGGATTCCCAGTCGGCAGAACATGTAGGGGACACTTGGAACACCAGCACTGTTTATGTCATGTTAGATTAACATACCAATTCTGAGATCAAGAACTCCAATTATATATCAGTCTTGCTTTAACTGTTTCTGTCCCGACGCTCTAACGACCTACCAGCCAATTGACAATCATGACAATGCGGCTATTTGACTTTGTTTTCCCATTTGCACAGATAGATTGAAATCCATCTATCAGTTCGAAAACTACTGACAGTTTCAACTGCAAATGAGTATATATAAACCCGGGATCGGAACTTCTTAATTTCCGGCTATTTGGCACTTGATTCCGAAAAATATTAACTATTCGCTAATTCCCTCTACTTCCTTTCAGCTAACGACTGGCTGCTTTCATGTTTTCATTTCTAGCGTTTACTGCCTACGCAGCCATTAAATCCGGCTCAGATAAAATATTTTAGGTCCCACTTGACCATGGGTGTGTTCTAAATATAGAATGAGTTTGTTTTAATCATGTCTGGGTACCAATGGGTGACATATATCTGTAATATTGAGTTCATCAAACATTTCGTTCATTCTCTGGCGTTTCATGACAAGAGGTGTGATCTTGATTTTATAAACAGCTAAAGACCAGAGAATTATTTTGCCACTTTTCGTCTTTGTACTTCATTAGTTCCCACTGTCCCCAATATTTTTGACTACTTATTTCCGACGATAAAATATTCCTGCCACATATGGTCTGGTTTTCCTGCTATACATTTGGAGATTCTTAATAAAATCCATAATATTATTAGTGCTGACCTGGTTTTACGCTTCAGTCACTATCCCATCGCCTTACTGTAGCGTCCATGTGCCTTTGTTTATCAATACTTCCATGGTAACTGTTCGGATGAAAACTTTCTCTGTGGTACCTAGACTTTATGAATTTAAGCGCAGTATTAGATTGGTGAAAAAGACTCATCGTTTAACAGTTGGAATCGCTATATCTATCGGTAAGTTCTATGCTGACAGTTTCTTCTCTTGGACTTATCGCTTGCTGGAAGTCTCTCTTCCCTTCTTGATTTCCAGACAACTTTGATGTTCAAGAATTTAAATGCAATGTCAATCGTTATCTAGTGTCTTCTTAATTCTTGTTCTGTTATTATACTCTCTACTTTTCTCATACTCTCTCTCAGTACATCTTTGAGTCTTAGTGATTTTATTGTCTTGCTTGGGGTCAAATGATATATATATATATATATATATATATATATATATATCATAATTATTTTTTTTTAAAATATGATTCCTTCGCTACATAAGAGTTCACATGTTTCAAAAACGAGAGCCGAAAACCTCAATATAATTATTAAAATTAAAATGAATTAAAGTATCAAGCCCTGTTTCGTCCTCAAGCCAAAATTTAGGAATAACCAATCTTGAAATTTACGCATCTTTATAAGCATGTTCATTCATAAAATTAATTACTATGGAAACGGTTGGGACGACCATTTTGATAGGGGGCCTAAGAGTTAATTTTTATCCATATATCAGTCAGCTTCGGAAAGAGGTCAAGCCGAAGTAGGATCGGGGTGTCCATTTCAAAGCGAATGATTGCATTCATGTACGCACATCGTCTGGTCAGTCACAGCGAAAGATAGCTTTTGGCTCCATAATATGTTGTTAAGTGTCTAGAGAATTTTTTTTTATTTATTTATTTTCCTAAAGAGCTGTTTCGTACATAAATGCGTCGCACTGACCTACAATGTGTTTTTGACGACTTCATAAAGGGTTTTTGCATCTTATCTTAGCTTTTAAAACTTTTATTAGAATATGAAATTTAATTTTCCTTTTTCTATGCTAATTATTTAATGCGAAAATTTATTGATGTCGGCAAAAAACCATTAACTCTCGGCTCTCGTTTTTGAAACATGGGAGCTCTTATGTAGCAAAGGAATCATATTTAAAAAAAAATTATAATTTAAGCTCTACTTCTGTATGGAGCACTGTTTTTTAAAAATAAATACAAAATGCTAAAGAACTCCGGATTATTTACCTAACGTGTTCTTTCCTATTTTTCTACATATCACACACACACACACACACACACACACACACATGTTTATATATATATATATATATATATATATATATATATATATAGTCATCCACAGACAGACTGACTGTAAGAATATTTTGCAGATAATAATTAGTTACTGATACAAACTATACTAATTAACCCATAGCTGGGGGTAAGAGATGGATTAATGCCTTTCTCAACGGTATTTGCGCGTAAATGAATATAACGAACACGATCGGAATTGGAAATTATCTCAGCGATTTCCATTTCCGAACCCATCAGGTACTGACCAAGCTCGATGTTGCTTACCTTCGTACGAGGATCAAGAAAGAAATCAGAAGAGATTTCCATATGCGAGGTGTGTAAGAAAGAAACAATATTAATAGAACATATAGTTACATCTAGATAGTTCTAAAGTAAAATTGCCAATCTAGCAGAACGATTAAATTCATACTGCCGAGGCACCAAGGAGGAGCGCTCACTATAAAAAATTCTTCTTTATACACTGTGTCCCCTTAAGACGGGGGCGATACAATTTTCTGTCCATTGTAGCTCTTAATAATTTTTTTTTATTTCTCCCATAATTTGTTCCGCTATCTATTTATACATCCTTACTAAGTATGTTATGCATTGTTTTTCTCTGCCCCTCTTGCCTTCAATAAGTCCCATGAGTATTAGACTTTCCAAACAATCTTTCCTCGTTATATGCCCTAGATATTTCAAATCTTTCAGGTCTAAAGTACAAGTATCCTTTTTGAATCTGTCTATATTTCTGAGATGAGGTACACTATTTACATTATTCGGACAATTGTCCTCATCCTTTTCTCATATATTTATTACAACGCTTCGGCCGTTGTACGCTCCGGCCTTCTTCAGGTGGTTGGAATGTCGAACTGAACCCTTTATTTCGCTCACTGGTGTAGACTGTTCTAGTTCCACGTGCCATGTTTAACGGATATCAGTTATCAGTTATCTCCTGTTAATTACCCTCTCCAAGTTATGCACTGCCTTAACCGAGTATTGAACTCACATTCTTTGGGGTCCTGTCACTGGATATAACTAATGCCTTTATCCACTGTGCTATGTGTCCTTGTGTATCTTTTTTATTTCCGTTTTCTCTAAAATCTTATCGTTGCTCAAATGTTCAAGCCATGGTATTCTCAGCATCCTACGGCAGAATGACATTTCTGTTGCTTCATCTTTGAGGAGACTGTCCAGCATTCACTGCCATACAGGAGGACAGAGATCACATAGGATTTCAGTGCTCTTTTCTTTGTTTCTAACGATATTTCCCTGTTTCTTCGTACTCTTCTTAGGTTTGGCTTTCAGTATCGCACTTTCCGTCCTCTGTTAAAAAAAAACTTCCCACATATTTGATTTTTTTACTTTTTTATTTTTTCCATTTTGTAATTTGCATTATGGCAACACTCTTTTGCTAACTACCAAGCATTGTCTTGCAGAATTCTCTTTTTTCTTCACTGTCTTCTGTAGGAGTTTTTGTAGATTTCTTTCCGTGTCATCTGCATACCTTATATGGTTAAGGTTATGGCCACCATTAATAAATCATGGTATGATTTCCAATTCTTT